AGGGGTCTGCACATCTTTTGGGAGTGTGTATGCTGATGCTGTTTTTTTTAGAAGGGGGCCTCTGGGAACTTGGAGAAGAATCGGCAGTAGCTTCCCTGTTGGGTTTATTCACCTTCACTTTCCCTTTGGAAGCAAATATTAATTGAGATTTCTTACCTGCTGAGTTTTTGCAAATGTGTTGAGAGAGATGCTCTCTTTGCTGTTGGTTCCAGCAGGAGATCTTGAATAATGCATAGGGTGGTTGCTTGTATTGATAAACATGGTTAATTTTAATTATAGGACTAAGATTTATGCTAATCTTTTTTTTTTCTTTAATTCATTTTTATGATTCTGAGTATATATTGAATGCCTTGGGGGACTTAATGACATGTTTGGGCATATGGAATGCATGGATCTGTCCCTTTCTCTGTCTACTTGTTTTGTGTTGTATCTAAGCCGTTTCATTGTATGACCTGGGCTTAACGTGGGCAATGCTCATTAAAGAGTCTGTTCAGTTATTTAAGTCATTGTTTTGGGGAACAGTTTCATGGTGGGGGGAAGCCTTGGTTGGGGTCCTTTCTTTATTTTATGAAAACTCTAAGAGAGCAGCTTCATTTCGGGAGACGAATACTGTATCTCAAGCTGAAGAATTGGGCTGTGATACAGAATGATTCCAAAAGAGTTTTAAAAACCAACCAGGGTCAAGAAACATGAAAAGTTCTCTGCCCACACTCTCCCTCATTTACAGGTTCTTAGTGTTGGAGGACAACAGGGAGGGCACACCAGCATAGGGCTCCTGGGTCACTATTTAAGACAATAAGTGCCAGGCAAAATGATTGTCATTCACAATTGTTTTTGCCTGGTTTCTGATTTTAAACTTGGGTTTGTTTATTTGTTTGTCATCAACTGATATGACAGCAACAAAAACTTAATGATGGGACAAACAATCCCCTCTGAGTCATTTCTTTTTTAATAATTACTTTACTAACTTATAATCCAATTTATACTTTGGTAGGTGGTTTATAAAATGTATACAATGCAAGATGATATAAAAACAAGTGAAGAAATGGAGTGAACAGAGTTATTCTCTAATTCACACATTTATTTATATATTCAACAAATACTTATGAAATGCCTACTGCATGCTAAGCCACCATTCTCTGTGCCAGGAATATTTCAGTAAACATAACAGACCAACTTCCTGTCCTTATGGAGCTATATTCTAGCCAGAGATAAAAGGGGATAGACAATAAATAAATACACAGTAAGTATGGACATGGCAGGAGTTACTTCATGCTACCTGGACAATAATAAAGCAAGGTTGGGCAGGGAGGTTAGGGGTGAAGGTTGGGGTGGAAGGGAGAGTTGCTCTTTTATAAGGTGGTGCAGGAAGTCCTCTCTGAGGTGATACTTCATTCACGACCTCAATGAAGTGAGGGGTAAGTCTTGTGACATCTGAAAGAAGAATTTCAAAGAGGGAACAATGAGTGTAGAGGTTTGAAGGCCAGAGCATGCTGGGTGTGTCTGAAGAGCAGCCGGGAGGCAGGAGTAGTGGGGGTGGAGTGAGGGAGAAAGTGGGAGTAGCTGGGGTAGATTGAGGGAGAGAGGGGGAGTATCTGGGGTGGAGTAAGGGGGAGAGGGGGAGTAGCTGGAGTGGAGTGAGGGGAAAAGTGGGAGTAGCTGGGGGAGAGTGAGGGAGAGAGAGGGAGTAGCTGGGGTGGAGTGAGGGAGAGAGAGGGAGTAGCTGGGGTGGAGTGAAGGGGAGAGGGGGAGTAGCTGGGGTAGAGTGA